CTACAGAATGTGCAAACCCCTCCCACCCTCTCTTCCATATATTTAAGACCACGAAATATGATGCAAAAACTAAAGACCAAATTGAAAATGGAATCAAAGATTTGCTGATGACTGTGAATCCCCGACGTTTGAGATCCAGATGGTGAAAAGAAGCACAGAAAGGAAAAAACACAGATTTGAAAATCCAGATTTCAAGGAAAAAAGAAGACTTATCAGACAAGCGAGGAGTCCAAGAACTCCCCCAAAGACGGAAAGGAGTCTCATTCTGGTAGCATTACAGACAAGCGCTTAACTGTGTGTCGGATAGAAAAAGCAAAGTGACATCACCAGTAGTGTATTCCACAAAGGGAAGTGTGTGTACGTACGTGTGGACATTCCCATCTTCGGCAGCTAGCCTCCATGTCGACCTACCTAACCCAGTTGTGAGTAGATATGCAGTATTCCGTTGTACAAGTGTATCTTTGGATCTTTTTTGAGTGTTTCTCCGTTTCCCAAGGCACAGATACTATCTAGTAATAATTAAGATAACTAAAAGCTATAAGTGGGGTCTTTGAGAACATTAAACATCACAACATATTTTGGGATATCCCGTTTTTCCGTTGTTGTTTTTGTATGTGGACTTTTTGTTCGGTGAAATGAATGTCGTCTCCTTTTTTTTTTTTTTTTTCCTTCAAAGAAAACACTATCTATGGAGTGGGTGTTCTTTTTTCTGCTCATTCATGCAAAGGAAAAATTCTTTATCACTGTACATCTACAGATTTTTTCATATTTTACAAATATCCTATGAGATAAAAAAAAAAAGTATATTCCCATGTGTATTTGACCATATGCTTCATCGAGCTTGCATGTTACGGATCTAGAAACAATGTACTTGAGCAGATTATCTGAATATGGAACTGAAGAAAATTTAGACTGAATCTACGCTATATGATTCTGACCAGTGCTGCACTTAACCTCTTAGTTCTTTTTTAAAAATTTTTTTTATGTTTTTGCATTTTCATTTGTTCATTTTTTTTTTTCTCCCTGTCATCATTGGCTGTTTGTTATCTTTGTGTTAAAGTTGGCAGTCTGTTGGCTTGATTCTTTTTATTCTGTTCAGGCTACTAAAAAAAGTCTATTCAGATTGTATTCTATGTACCACGAGGAAAAACAAGTGATAGGTGTTTGTTCTGCTTCAGTGGATAAATGCTTTTTTTATAAATTTATTTAAAACACATAACCTCTTAGTTTGTATTTCTTTGAGTAAAGGCCTTCTGTGCTGGGCAAACGCAAACTCAATATCTGTCTGTGGTTTCTTTTGGCTGGAACGGGGAAAGCTGGTGTGACTGACGGTTAACATCTGGAATGCTGTGAAGGGGTGGCGTGCTGCAGGGTTTTGTTAAGGATGGTTTCAGCAAACATTCCTCACAGTTTGGTCAGGTTGTTCCAGGATGTCTGTGTTCCATCGAGCCCTAAATGTTTCCTTTAACACTATCAACTTCCTAAAGGGACAAATCAGCTTGACTCACACTTCTAGTCCTGAAGCTGACCAGAGGGGTGGACTAAGAAATGAGATTAACGGGTTTGTCTGGTCTGTAGAGCCTAAAACCAGAATTTTCAGTGTGAGGCTGGATCATATTGGTAACTTGTGACGCAAATTTAAAATTCTCTGGAGGAGTTTTGTGATTTAATTTGATTGTGAGAAGTGTTCCTTTTAATAATTCTTTTCCTGACCATATTTTCTATAAGCAATACAAACCCTCAGCTGAAGAAATACATTACACTTGCAAATTTCCACTGAATCAGACCGTGTTGCCACGGGAACCTACATGTATTCAGTCAGTGATGCAAAAAATGCATTAAAAAATGTATTTGATGCTTTGCCCTGATTTGGCCAAAAACAGTGATTTCCACGTATCATGCATGATAGGACAGTAGATGTCAGCTCTAAATGTATTTGTGGAGTGTCATGTTTGAATATATGACGTTTAAGAATAAGCAGCTGCATCTCACTTAATGGGAAAATTAATTTATCAGCTTACTAGATGAACAGTTTTCTACCAGCGTTCCTCTTGCATCATTAGCAGTATCAGCGCTTTGTTATATTTGATGATCTTTTACATTCCTCGTAGCTTCCATTATAGCAACCTGTACCTCTTTCCTGAAGTAGGTGGCACAGGCGGGGTCCTTTTTGAGCAGAGGAGTCACATGATGCCTCAAACACCCCGTCATCAGGGAAGAACATCCAGAGCCCAGAAGAAAAGCTGGTTGATAAGTCAAGTTGATAACCACTGTCATAAAGCCTCTTATCTCTGATTGGGGTTTTAGGTTTTGTTAAGCTGGCGAATGGAGAGAAAACCTGGCTATGTGGAAGCTACTTTGTAGTAGAACCTACAGAGAAGTGCTGGTAAAGGAGGCTCTGAAGTAAACGGGAGGCGATCAGGTTCAGTGTACTAAGCAGTAACTACAGAAATCATTCAAAAAGTTTAGTGTTCGGTGCTGTGAAGTCTGAACTTCATATCAGGTAGATAAGATGAATTTTATGCCTGATTATTAACCATCCATCCATTATCTATACACCGCTTAATCCTCACTAGGATTGCGGGGGGCTGGAGTCTATCCCAGCTGACGTAGGGTGAAGGCAGGGGACACACTGGACAGGTCACCAGTCTATCACAGGGCTACACTTAGAGACAGACAACCAAGCACACTCACATTCACACCTACGGACAATTTAGAATCACCAATTAACCTCAACATGTTTTTGGACTGTGTGGGAGGAAGCTGGAGAACCCGGAGAGAACCCACGCTGCACGGGGAGAACATGCAAACTCCACACAGAAAGATCCCAGGTGTCCTAACTGGGACACAAACAGGTGACCTTCTAGCTGCGAGGCAAACAGTGCTAACCACAGAGCCACCTTGCAGCCCCTGATTATTAATCAACTTCACGTAAACTCTGAAACTGTTCTATGGATACTGCCTTCTTTATCTGAGGCTTTTAAAAATTGCAGGAAAACAGTTTCTTCAAATTTGTTCTCATCTGAACTGGACTTGCTTGTGTTTCTTGAAGAAGTTTCACCTCTCCTCATTAAGGCTTCATCAGTTCTAGGTGACTGATGGTGAGTCCCAGGTTTTAAAGCTCCAGGCTTGTTAAAGTCACATGAGTTGAGGTGTGAATGGCTGGAGTTGTATACCACCTTCTGTTTGGTGAGAGGTGAAATGTCTTCAATAAAATCAAGCAAGTCAGGTTGTATTCTTTCAGAAGAGTGACACCATAAGTCTTCCTAAAGTGTTGTAACAATGACAGTTTCAACGTACCTTGGACTGATTCTCCAAGTCTCTGGAACTCCACTGAAGAGATGGAACACAATTCTTCCAAATGATATTCCTTCATTGGGTGTTTTGATGATGGAAAGTGCTGTCTTAACAGGCAATTCCAAAATCCCTGTGTTGAGATGGTGACTGTCAAGGCCACAGGAAAAAAATCATGATTTTTATACTCAACAAACCATTCACTGAGGCCTGTGGATGGAAGCGTAAAGATAAAGCTTTCATAAGGATGCTCACCATGCAGCACCCTCCAGGGCTTAAGAAGGAAGCTGACACTGAAGTGCCAAATACTGCAGTTCCTTGACTGTTCACTAGAGGCTGGCTCCATGTGAGTCAGTCCCCAGAGAGCTCCGTGTTAAAATGCTCAATTTTACATCAGAAATAAACATGTTTACTGCCTGTTGTGAAAAACGGTCTTGGTTGCTAATTTCTCCGTTCATGACAACTGCACAGAGGCTTAAGTTTTATGCAACTCAATAACTTTTACATTGTGTAGTTAAGGCTAAAGGTTATGCATGATTAATCCTTTATTGGACATGGAACCATATATGGTAACTGCTGCAGGCTTTAAAAAGAGAATCACATGACTTCATCCAGCCAATCAACAAAGGTCAGGCTACATCATAACACAGTCAGTATGGCCTCTGACCAATCAGGAGTGAGCCAGAGTGATATTTTGACACAAGTGTCATTAGTTCTGTAAGTCTGACCGGCGATTTGGAAGTAAGTGTTCCTTCATTTTTATGTGAGTAATTTTAACAATAATTTATCCACAAATTATTTGGATTTTTTCTTTTTTTACCCTACATAGATGGGGAATCGTATATGGTAACTGCTTTGACTTTGATTTACAGCCTAAATCTGAAACGTTATAAAAAAGTCAGAAAAGAAAAAATGTCCTCTTATATCTACCAATGACACTCCAGGGTTGAAATGTTAAATTTCCAAGTATTTCAATGAGTGTTCTATAAGGGTGTGACTGCTTTGAGTGACAGGTAAGTACTATGATAGGACAGTTTATGCTTCAGAGGCATTTGCATGGCCAATCTCAGCTCCACCTTTATGCTCATTTTGGATTAACCAGGAGTTAAGAGTTGGGCACTGCAGAGATGGTGATGGATAGAACCTCCATAGAGATTCAGAACTGCTGTTCGGGAAACCTGTGGGTGATATCACGGGTTTGTCCAAGCAGTCAGTGACAAAAAACAATTTTCAAATTCTATGCAAAACAAGAGAAAGTGTGGACCAAAAGTAGGTTTTGTTAAACCTATCTCAGGAGAGCATCACTGGTTTTGTTTTCATTGCCATTATCAAGTTCTTGTAAAGGTTGTTTTTTTTTGTTTGTTTTTTTCACAAAACTTACAGATTCAACAATCAGCATTTTAGGGTGCGTTACATGTTTAAAATAAGTTATATTTACTTTGTTTACTGTTGGTTTGACAATGAACATTTTTGTGGTACACCTTAAGGTTCAGGGAATTGACACATTTTTTAGACATTTTATGAAGAAAATAACATGTAGAGTGACTTACCATTGAAATAATGGTTAGTTGCAGTCCTGATACTAACACATGGTTAGATGCCCCAGCAAGCCAAGCAACAATGAGCAAACTCAGTGAAACACAGATGCTACACTATGTAGGGGTTGATTTCTATGGTACTAAAAAGCATAAAAAGACCAAGAAATCTTAACTGTAAAAGATGTTAAATTTTATTCACAAATTTATATGCAGGTTTACAATCATTCTGAGTGTGTCAGAAACAAGTTGGCTTTTCAGTTTGTGCAGCATCCCTCCTGTGGTTGGTGACCGTGTACGTTCGGCGTGACGCCTGCAAGAGTACAATCTGACACAGAAAGCAACACAACTGAAATGTGTTTTTGCAAAGTATCAACGAAAAAGCTGTCGAGTAAGATGACAAATGAAAATGATGCACCAACACAGCTTGGCTTCTAGACGTTCCACTGTGGTGAATCCACACTGAGCAGATCTGCAGCTTATCCCCACAGGGTTCACAACAAAGCACTTCAGAGTCCCTGATTGGCATTAGCTGAACTAGCAGGGTGAAGCTGTTTACAGGGACATGACAACAGACAAAAACTACACTCTTAGCAAAAGAGTGGTCAAGATTTTGACGAAAAGGTGTCACGAGCTGTGACTGCAGAGCCACACTGGCCAACCAAAAGCATGTGGAGCAATCGATCATCCTTCAGAACATTTCTGATTGAAACATATCGGGCGAAGCATTAAGTTCAGTCTTGAACAAAGTTCAACATATTCAAATTTTTACAGTTGATCTGGGCTGTTGAGTCAAACATCTCACTCATTTATGAGATTTCAGATGGAAACCGTGTGTTTGACTCTGAAGCTTCTGAAAAAGCACTCAACTTTTACAGACGCTTACAGAAATATTCCAACATTTTGAGAAACGTCTTAGTCACTTTCTTACAAAGAGCAAGATGAGGAGTTCGGTACCAATCATCCATAGTGTAAACAGAAAGCAAAGGCTAGCAGGATACTAGTAGCTTGTCTTAGCATGAAGTCGGTAGATGTGACCAGCGAGCCCAGCTTTTGTCTGTAGGTAACAAAATGCAACTGTAGCTCTAAAGCTAACTAAACAACAATACATATCTCATTTGATAAATTAATTATACAAAGTCACTGCCCAAAAATCGTTTACACATAACTTATGAGACATAATTTTCTCATTTTTAACTTCAGTACAGATTAAACTAACAAGCTTTAAGGTACTTAGTGGGGAGCTGCAGCGGTGATGGTTCAGAGATTCTGTTACATTCAGACAAGCCCAGCTAGCTGTTTTCAGTCTTTATGCTAAGCAGCTGCTAACTCTAACTTTACATTTACGGCACAGACATGAGTGTGGTATCGAATTTGCAAAGAGTTAGATAAGTGCATTTCTCAAAATGTTTAGGTAGAACCAACATAATCGGGATGGATCGATAGATCTGGCCAACTTATACATCTGACATTCAGCCTCATTTCAATTATTGGTATCATGTAGTTAAACCAGTTTCCAATAAAATACTTTTTAAAATGTGCTACTTTGGCTGTGACGCAGACCTTTCTCTCCATCTGGAACTCTGTGGTCTCATGTAATGTCCGGCTCACAGCACTATGTGACTGTTGCATGTCATGACTAATAATCAACATTTAAAGATAAATGTTGTCCTCCTTTAATTATACATGTCAAACAGAAGGGAATTTTGTCAAAGTTTTGTGTTTGAGTTTGTGTTCTTCCAAATGTTGACACCAAGATTTGAATTTTCACAATGAATGTATAGTAGTTGTAAATACTGGCTATCATCTTGTTGATCACCAATCATCGGGACTGATATTGGCCCAGAACAATCGGTCGACCCCTAACACACACACACTCAACTTTCACAAGCTTTTAGTGAAAAAAACTGTTCAGGGAAACAATGTATTGCACAATGTATGAAAAAAAGGAAAAGTGAAACAAAAATACATGTTAATTTTTTTTTTGCTACTATTCTGTACAAGTCCTTGTGGTTAGAAGTTCAGTCTGGCGAGTTGTGTATATACAGTGACTGTAAGAAAATCTAGTAATACTAAGGTGACGCTTCACGCTGCAGGATCAGAGACTGTTTCAACACTCCAGATGTTACTTTGAACCTTTAAGACCCAACTGGAGAGAAACAGTTACCTCATTCTGCTCCGGCTTTGCAAATGCCTAATATGGTACATTGGTATATACGCGAACACATGTATGTATATATGACAACAATAGTATGTGCACACATACAGATTCTCTCCAGTCTCAGAGGCACTCCCTATAGTTAGGTTAGGTGGTGTTAGTTGACAAAAATCTCAATATTTTCAATCCGTCTAACTATCAGAATCATCTATGTGATTAAAAATAGCCATCCTTTGTAAATTCCTTGGAAGACGTCCTAAAAAGCGGCAAGTTGTCCTTTCAAAAAATATCTTTCCCTCTTTTTTTGTGTTTTTTTCCTGCGTTTGGTTTGGGAGTAAAGCCAGCATCCGTGTCCCTCCGTCCAGAGACATCAAATCTGCACCACTGTTCACACTTTCATCTTTGCGTTAAGAGTTTTCCCCCAAAGTCTGTGCTTCTTTTTCTTTGTCCTTCTTTGATCTGATGCTCTTTTAAGAGTCTGTCAAGATAAAGAGAAGTGCAACTTGGGACCTCTCCTGTCTCCTTAAAAAAAAGGGGGGGAAAAAAAGAAGAAAAAAAAAAGTCAAGAAAAACAAAACTGGTTGCTTAATAGGAAGTCTTCAGATGGGTCAAAGGTCATATTTTCTCATCGGTCATCTCCAGGAACTGGGCGTACACGTCTCTGGAGCACTCCCCTTTCTGGTTGAACAGAAACTTGTAGTAGCTGCCGTCAGCACAAATAGCTGCAAAGGAATGGTGGAAGGAAAAAAAAAAAAAAGTCAGCAAACAGACTGAACACAGGAAACCAGACAGTTCAATAACACAGTGCTGCATAGGAACGAACAACCAAATGACATTTAAAAAAAGGTTTTTGGGTGGCCATAAGAGGTCACTGTAACTGTTAAAATCCGCGTCTCTTCCTTTTGGATTAATGACAAGAACACATCATCTATGCTGTTAAGTCTGGATTTGATGCGTCGTTTCCACAAAGCTCTGTGTCCGTGCACGAATCAACCGGATCTCCATTCATTCCTATGAGAGACTCTGTGATCTCCGATTTGTCTGTAAAACTTTTCCCTCTACTTTTTAGCCGTCCGGAATTTGTCTACATTGAAAGTGTTTAACTTTAGTGGTGGATGATAGAGAGACTGGATTGTGTGCACCACAAAGTGGTAAAAATGAATTAGCAAACAGGCTAATTCAAGGTTTGACCATGTAGATGGTCACATCGTGTAAATGTGTGGTTACACATTAGGACACTCGTTTAGCTCGTTTAGCACATGGTAGCTGTGTAACATAAAGAGAACACACCTACTGTAGTGCTACATACATCCTATAACAAGATATTTCACTAAACTGGCGTGATGTGTGACAGCAGAACCTCCTCCCTTGTTTCTCACCATGTATCATTGGTCCTGTTTTAGTGACAGTAACGCTACATGCACATATTCTAGACAGTAAAACCTCGTATGGCTGTGGTTAAGTTTCCATCCATCCATAATGATATGTTTTTCATCGCGTTGAACACCAGGGGCCACAGTCTGTATATTATACAGATTTACAGACTTTACGTCAAGCTATGTGGAAACAACACCTAAAAGTGCATGGAAGAAAACCGAACTTTCCTATTTTTCACAATCCTGATCAGTCAACTCACATGGTTTTCCTATTGTGATGTGCAAAAATGAAACATATTTAATTTAACCTGGTTACCATGTGTCATTAACAGATTACAGACATACAAATACTGCAATCAATAAGTAGAGAAACACAACAAAAGCAGATGCTTCCACACAGCTGCCCTGCATGATACAGTTAAGCAGCTAAACTGTTGAGCAGGGCCAGCTGATACTTACATTAAGATGGAAAGAGGAAAAGATCTGAGTGATCAAAGTGCCATTTAGTTGGAATGTGGCCATAAGTAGGAAAATAAATAACCAGTTTGTACATGCCAGGACTGCAGTGGTGGGTAAAAGAAGTGCATAAAAAGAGGCAAAGTGTGCTTTTAGTGTCACCATAAATCTCCTGGGATACCTTCTGTCTTTCTGTCTGTAGTCAGTAATGGTGACATGATGAGAAGATGAGTTATGTATCTGGGAAGGCATCACACTCCCTTCTGAACCTACCTATGACGGCATTGGGCTCTGTTCCGAAGGCACACACACAGGGGGAGCCTGAGGGGACCTGGAACTTGGAGAAGCTCCACTTCGAGCTGAAGTATTTGGGAAGAAAGCTGGCCGATGCCAAGCTGCAGAGAGAAGGACACATGACTTCATCTTTATCCTGCCATTGGACTGATTATTATGCAGCACATACCACGAATCATCTGAATTTGTAGCAACTGACCTTGACTGTTTGTTCCTTTTGGGGTCCTCTGCAGCAAAGATGTGCACTGTGCCGTGGTCGCTGGACACACAGATAAGGGACGCGTCCTGGTTAAAATTAATGCTGAAAAAGAGAAAGAGCAGATAAAAGTAGTGAGAGTGAGAAAGCTACAAGCTGTCATTAGCTCAGATTAACATAGGGACTCAAGATAATGCACACAAATTTGTACACAGCTTCAAGAGCATGAATCTGCTAAACTGTGAGTACTTTCTGTCTGGTTTAACTTGGTAATCAAATGAAAATAAACAAACAAAAAAAAAAGCTTCTTCTTGTGGAAGGCCCACAACGGTCAGCGGACAGACAAGGCAATGGTCACATGACTAAAAGAGCTGGCTCTGCTGGATCCTTGTACTGTATAGTTGCATGTTTTTAGGCCAGTTCATGGTTTTTCGCATGACTGATGTGGACTTTGAAAGCGTAAGCACATGCTATTCATACTGCAACAAGTCAAGTACAGACGTTTGCTTTGCAACACACACAGGCTCCTGTGGATGTTCCAGAAAGGCCGTGACTTTGCACTTTACACTTTACAGGATATAGCGGCGACTTACAGACTGGACTGAAGCTTCATGAAAATGTGATTATGCCTGAGGTGTGCCAAGCACAGCGGCACAAAACACAGGATTTCTGGAAAATGTAAAAACTTTTGGGCTCCATTGATAGAAAGCATATACAAATCAAAGCTCCTCTAAAGTCCAGCGGCCGATTTAATTACATATCCTTTCATTAAAAAAAATTATAAAGGTGTGGATTACAAAGAATCTCCTCCCACAGCTTCTCATCAAAACAATCATTTGTTTTCCTTATGCCATATGTGCTCTGACAGACATGCAGATTAGGAAAGCATGAATTGGCCTGTAGTGGTGAAGTTTAGAAAGATGACATCATGCATTCTTCCACTTACAAATGCAAAGTTGAATTCATACGAGAAAAAAATGCACCGTTAACCGTGTAACTCCACACATGAAGAATCTTTCCTGCTACAGTCCTACTTGGTCTAGCTGCTGATGTTAGATGAACATTTCTAGGGGTTTTTCATACATAGAGGAACTTTTAAAAGGTTTTAGCCAGCACCAAAAAAACGTGCTAAAATTTTAAAAAATTGAGAAGAATTTTTTTTTTCTTGTTAACTAGCGTTTTACTTACACAAGCATGAACATAAAACCTATTTGTGGTCATAAATAATCAGAAAAAGCATGCATTTGTGGCAATAGAGTAACAAAGACTCACTGAATTTATTGTACACGGACCAATCGAGCTCGCTTACTCGTGCTGTCACTCTCCAAAGGAGCATTCTGAGCCACAAAACCACAAACTAACATTACTACATCAGTTCACTGACTTTATGACTCTCTTCCACTGATATAATAGCTGAGCACTTTACCATAATGCTACTTAAGTAGCTCTGCATTTAGAATTTATAGCCAGAGTGGCTGGTATTCAGCAACAGTTGCATCATTTTGAAGTAGGTGTAGTACATTTTTCTGTGTTTCATTTGTTTTCATTTGGAATTACATTTGCACCACTACGATGTCCAACTCCACTGTAAATTTTGTCAAGATTGCCGTATAACACTGCCAACTCTCTCCGTTATGTGATCACAGCCTTGCACGCCCATTCATATCCTGTTGTTGTCTTTCCATTGACTCAGAAGAAGCTGGTTCCACAACAAGCTGAATACAAGTAGGATTTTGTTTACTCACTACCACGCTGAACACAAAAAGAAGACCATTCTGCAAAATTTCTCCACAGGACGAAGATAAATATATATGTTGAAAAAGAGGTCATCCCATATTTAGGCTAATAAGGTATTTCCAGCTGATGTACGGACAGCAACCTACAGCCTAATGGAAATTTTGTACCCTAAAGCAAAACCAGCAAGATCAAGAATTAAGCATTTTTAACCCACACTCTTACAATGACTCTGCCAAAACATACATCTTGTGGTTTACTGGAGCGCAGACAGTAAGGGCAGCTCTTAGATTGTGGTCTGACTGTCCGGTCTGAAGTATCAATGAATACTGCGAATGTAAACATACATGGGAGGAGCAGATACTCTGAAGAAAGCTGCACAAAGGCCTTGAAGATTAGATATCACCAGAGTAAATAAGACAAGAGCTGTGTAGAATAACTGTCAGCACATAGCCTGTCTTGGCTTTGTGTCAACTGGAAGAAGCATAATTTCTATTTTTGTGTTGTCGTGTTTCTAATGTCCACGTTTCAAAATACGCACCAGTAAATGTTAGCTGCCTGCGAGCCTCGTCTTAGCTCCTGTATGAGTTGGCCTGCAGATGTGTCAAAAATTCTAATGAGAGTCCCCTGTGAAGACACAACACACATTAGTCAGCGAGAATCAAGACGAAACATCACAACAGTTGGAGATAAGTCTCAAAATAAGGAGCCTACACACAATTCACCCTCCAGCCCTAGCTTTACATACTTTCTCAGATGCAGTGGCTATTCTCGTGCCCTGCAGGTTGAGAGCGATGCAGCACAGCGCCCCCTCATGGGCGGGGATGTCGACAGGGGGCTTCTCTGTGTTGGCGAGATCAACTATCTGCACGTGGCCTGAATGAGTCCCGGGGAATGCCAGCAGAGAGTTGTTGCTGTTAGGACACAGCACACACAGACCTGAGGAGAACAAGAAGAAAAAGGGTTGTTGTGATGTACGCCTCATCAACAGCACCTTGTTTGTATGACGATAGCATTACAGCTTATACTACAGGTCTGGTCATTTGCTAAACCTGCCAAAGAGATGACTTGGTTCAAGTGCTCAAGTGAGGGACAATTTTAATTACAAGTCTAAAGACAATTGAACCCTAAAACCCTCTGGTGGGTTTGAAAGACGCCAAAATAACACAATTTATCAGATTAAGAATTGTCAGATTTTCAGCTTTCTGATGGTCCTTGAGCTACTCATGTGTTACGTCAGTTCTGTGGGAAAAATTAAGCTTAAAATCAAAATATTTCATCAACATCATTTTATCATTCATTCATGACTCAATTTAAAAAAACTGCCAAAACCAAACAGTTGACACCTTAGTCTGCAAACAAGAACATTTCAGAACAAAAAAATGTAGCGCTCATGAGCACCACAGTGAAACCAGGAGTACTCAGTTGCAGCCAGTCATGTGACAAATATTCGAGGACTCTCGGCTGAATTGCAGGCTGTGTTTACACTGAGCACAAGGGCTACAAGTTTGGAAACACATTTAAAATCTGCAAACCTTTTCGGACTGCTGAAGCTTATAGGGAATCCAAATGTTTTGGATTGTTGGGTGTTTCTGCCTTTGTTAAGCGCTATTTGATGACTTGTTGTAAATATGTGCTATACAAATAAAATTGAATTGAAAAAACCTATCTATAAAATATTAAGTAGTCTTTTTCTTTTTTTTCTAGCACTGATAATAAATGCAAAAAGTTGTAAAACTTATACTGCACAAAAGACATTTTTGAATTCCATGGTTGTGCTGTTTTCATAGAGGTGGAGGAATTTATATTGCAGTCAAAATGAAAGCATACTGAGGAAAAAATATGAAAAAAGTACAGAACACACAGAACCTGCTTCAGGTTCAGAGGATAAATCACAGTGGACTGACCTTTGGGGTTGTAGCAGGTCTCAAACACATGCAGCTGATGGGGGTTGTGGGTAAAGGTGAACACTTTGATCATCGAGTCCAGGACCACCACAATCCTGCAAAGGAAGATCACCTCATGAGCTACACTTTAAACTAAATGTAAAAACGTCTACTAAAGCAGCCCTACTGAGGCAGTAATATAACACTTTCAATGATAAAACTGAAGGCCAAGACAGTTCTAGTTATTACTTTACGCAAATTATTGCATGCTTTTATGAGAGTGGAGCATGACTGAAACGTAAGGTATAACGGTTGTGTCCAAAGAGGAACCTGTCCGCCTCTCACAGTTGGGAACAAAGGTTTACATACACTTGTAACGACCGTGTAGATCACAGCAGTCTGGAGTTTTCAATGATTCATGTAACCATAGCAATAGCTATAGCTACATTTTCTGGGATGGAATCATTGAAACACATGTTTCACAGAAACAATCATGCATTTAGATTCTTTCATAATTATATAATAGGTCTTTTTAAAATATGACCAAATCTGCTTCATCAAAAATATACATACAGCACAGCTAATATTCAGTTATGTGTCCCTTGGCCATTTGCACCTCAGTCAGGCACTTTCATGAGCTGTTCACATCTTCTGGTTGTATCTCTGACACTCTTGACAGAAGTGGTGTAGTTCAACTAAGTTTGTTGGCTTTCTGACACAGACGTATTCTTCAACACAGTCAGGACTTTGGGAATGCCAGTCTTAATCCTCGCCTGATTTAGCTACTTCATTCCTACTGATGTGTGTTTGGGATCATTGTCTTGTTGGAACACCCAAATGCATCCCAGACCCAACCTTTTGGTTGATGATATTACGCTTTCCTGAAGAATGTGGAGGTAATCCTCCTTCTTCATTATTTAATTTACTTTGTGTAAAGCACCAGTTCCACTTGGAGCAAAACAGCCCCAAAGTATAACAGTATCACCACCATGCTTGTCAGTAGGTTTGGTGTTCTTGGAGTTGAAGACCTCACCTTCTTTTCTCTAAACCT